CGCAGCCATTACTTCGCAGATCAAACCCTCGGTTTCATTTTTCTTCGATGATTTTTGACTATCGTAAAGAGTTTATAGTGTTGTGGCAGTTTTTGAAAGACATGCAGGGACATATTGTAAGCGAACTCGGCCGATTCCTCGACGAGGGGTGCATAAAAAAAAACAAAAAAAAAAAAACCGATTTTCTTTCAAAACCTATCAGAAATCAAACGTAATGAGATGGCCGTGTATCAAAACTTTATTTTGAAAAGCGACGAAATGTACAATTGCGCGTATACTTAGGTTGTATGAAGATCAATCAAGTGTTGTCAAAGTTACGATTTGTACGTGCATGTGTACAAAAATAATGTAAAACTAGTATTATACAAGTTATTTCATGCAATACTTAAATATGTCGTTTCTGTTGAACAAATGAATAAAGCAAAATGATAAATGATAAACATAATTAACATGTACATAATACATATTTATATATGTAAACTGTGGTGAACTTTGTTACTGAAAATGTCGATATAATTACGTGGATCGTAGCTTTGACAACATTTTAAAAGATCAGAATAGGCTCTTGTGCATCAAAATACATAAATATAAATAGTTGAATCAAAGAGTTGGTTTTAGATGTATATTTTTTTGTTTGATTTTCTGACGGAGGAATCGGTCGGGGTCTCTTGGCGATGCGTCGGTTCACAAAATATATAATACAACAAATACAGGATCAAATCGATTGTTAGCATATATAATATACAATACCGCCGGATAAGCTCTGGTTGTAATGCATACTTGCATATTGTGCGAGGCTATTTTTCAATGTCCAATGTTTAACGAGCATTATTTGCAAGTTTTCTTGTATAATGATAGTAAAGCAAAGGAAAAATAAAGAAATAAAGTAATGAATTTTTCTGAATACTGTTATGATGGTCGTTGTGTAAAATGTAGAAAAAAAGAAAAAAAAATGCCAATGTGATTTCACTTTGATGAGCGATGAAATCACAATAAAACATTTTTCACCCCTCCAATCGAGTATTTCTCTTTATCCAAAGTACTTTTTTCAGTTTTTGTTTTTTCATTTCTTTTTTAATTTTTTTGTTTTGTTGATGATTATTCGTCCTTATGTATGGGGCATTTTTATTTTATTTGGTGCGTAAACCGGTTTTATCCTACATTTTAGTTGTTTTTAAAAATCATAAAATCATGGGTAAGTAGAAACATTAAATTCTAATTTTTTAAATACATTTTTTTTCTTCATAATGGCTCTTCATCTCTAGAAAAAATCACAGTGTGAGTATTTGTAACATTAGTTTTTGAAAAAATTATTAAATGAGGTTATGTTCTATATTTTTGACTAAGTATGCAGGTTATGTTCGCTTGTTTTCAAAATATTGTAAGCACATACATCGGAAATATAAGTAGACTGCTACCAGTGTTTTTACTAAAAAAAGTGTCCATTCAACAAAACAACAGTAAAGTGAGGTTTGGTGTTAAAAAAATTTCTTGATGTTTCAAATTAATTGATCTATACTTTTTTCATATTGTGTTTTGTAGGAAATAATTTATGAGTTTTACTTTTGACTTGCATAGTAGGTGGGGATCCTCCTAAACGCTTCAAATCCAACGACAGTACTGTAGGAAAGTTAAAATTTACATAGCAAATTCCACTGCATGGAAAAAATAAAAAAAAATATTAGCCAAGGGTTAACGTTTCAATTTTGTTGAGGAACATAAAATGTTTTACGAGAAACTGAAGAGACAGTAGGAATAGACCCTACAACCAACAATTCAGAAGCATCGAGTACTATGTGTATATATGTTTTGGGACGAAGATTCATAACAAAATAATAATAATAATAATAATAATAATAATAATAATAAACTAAACGACGAAGGAGCCTCCTCTCAAGAGCCTATACATTAATTTTATTCAGCTAGTAATATCTCGTAATCCAATTTCATATATCGTTATTCTTTGGCATTGGTGATTAAATCAAAACGTAATTTTTTAAATTGAATTTAAGGAGTGAGAAATAAAAGTTCTGGTTGAATAGTTGCTTAGAACCTTTTTTTTATATTAGTTTCAACGTGATAATAAAATTTATTTTATGTGCATTTTTTTGTCTGGACAAACAGATAGACAAATAGAATTTGTTGGTTTTATATAGTTAATCCTAGAGAGTACCAAACTTATTTTCCTATACTAAGTAGTGTACTCATCTGAGAGTTTTTTTGTTTGACTAAACAATATATTTAAACATACATATTTTCGGTGTAACTTATAGAGTTAGCTCCATTATTTCGCTCGGGTCTTTCCTGCATATTTATATATGGATTGCAAGCATGACATTTTAATAAATAATATTCACATTTTGTAACACATTTAAGATAAATAATACAACTTACCTTAGCCTTAGAAGATTATGTTATAATTGAGATTACCTACCAGTATCTTATAGGTATAATATTTACCGAATACTTAGTCAAAAGGCAACATCCTGCATAACCTACAGTATTTATTTCAAAAATTATTAAGGTCATGATAGTATTTTTATCAGTGTTATTCACTCCACTTAGACAATCATTTTAATGAAATTTTTTTTTTAATCTATAATGTGTAACTGTTGGATAGCGTCCCATAAAAAGATTACTTTGTTCCCTGTTCACAATACATGTAATCATCAAGATGAACTATCTAAAAGCATTGAGTTGTAGTGGAGTAAAGGTACGACTTGTAATAATAATTCCTGGGATAAAAAAAATAATAGGGTACTTATTGTTAAAAAAAAAAAATTTCATCACAAGTTCTATAATAATTTAACTCCTAAATATTCTCTTGGAAGATTTTTAATCATGTGTCAATTTTAAATGAGTACGACTTAAAAATTTGCAAACAATAAATCTAACACTGCAAACTAAAAATAAACTGTATGAGTCATTAAAAAATACTGTGACACATGCACACAAATTTTATTTCAACCCTGCATGAAGAGCACGACCTAAAGCATCATAAATAGTGCAAGAAAGCGTGCGTTTTACGGCAGTTGCGGGGAAGAAAAGCCTTAATCCTTAATACAGTGTCAAAACAACACTTGTGTTGTGTGAAGGAAAAAAAAAAACTTGAGCTTACCTTACTGATGAAAACCAAATGTCGAAGTCGTATTCATTTTATACCTATTCTCAAAAGGCAAAGGAGACATTTTTTTTTAAATGACCACTTTGATACAAATCTACGGTCTCGGTTAAAAAAAAAAAAATTACAAAAAGGGTCTCTGGCAAGGATTATAAAAAAGGGGGACACATGCTAAGACACGTGTGCTTTTGGGTCATGGGTCATCCAGAAAGAATTTTTTGTTAACAGTCCTTTTAGTGTGTCAACTCCATTGACGCCTATACAATGACATATGTGCGGCGGTAAGCCATTGTAAAATAATTTCTAATATTCACACCTTTATGTTTAACATAATAAATTTGTTGGTTAAAAGCAGGTATATTTAAAAAATTTAAGTGTCTGAGGCTTTATACGGAGGCAACCACTCTTATCGATACCTTTTCGAGCAAATTGATTGTGTCAATTTTCACAACTTTGCTGTAAATTTTACAATAAAAGAAAATATTCAACATATCAGTTTCTACATTCGACTGTTGTAATTTTCTTGACACAATTCAAAATAATATGTATGACTGAAAAACGGTTTTTTCATTACTTCGCTGGTTGAAAGTACTTTACATAAAATTACTGCTTACTTACCGGTAACTGGTCCAGATAAACTTAGAACTTGGTTTCTAGATAATTTTTTACAGTAAGTAGTCAAAGGAACCGTGATCTGGCTACCTAGTTTGCCAAAAAATGTTGTGAACACCACGTTAATTGTAGGTTATGATAAAGTACTTCCATCAAAAATCCAACCTGAAACAAATGCATAATATATAAAGTGATAACACTATATTCGCTGTTCCAATGTTATGCACACAGCGAATAGATCTATTTTAACAAAAGATATAGAAAGTATTTGATGATCAGTTAAAACAAATAAAAAAAAAAAATGTCAGTACATGCAGGTAAGTTGCTTGTGAATTCGATTTTTTTGATAGTCTAAATAAAAACTAAAGTGGAAAGCTACCTATTAAATTTTAATTTAGTGCCATCGATCAAATATCAACCAGATTATACAAGTTGTAAATAATCTATAAAAAGACAATTTGACTCTTAATCTTAAATATCTGCATGAACAGTTTTAATTTCAGTACTTGATTTTTGAGAGTTTAGTCAACTAAAATAACATGTTTACCACCCAATGTTTCACAATATGACATTTTATTTTTACATAGACTAAGAGCTACAGCTATAGGTACACATTTTTTTGTGTGTATTATACTACTACTTAGCCTGTCAAAGCATGATATAGGTTCATGTTTGTTTTTTCCTTTGTAAAAGTAAGTAGTAAGTATTTGTTTGTTTTATCTTTCAAAATACAAATGAGGATATCAGCTTTGTAAGTAAACAAGAACGAGAATTGTGTACATTTGAGTAAGCAACAGCAGTAGTACTTAGAAAACTTATTTTTTATGTTGATAAATACACCCATGAAAAATTACCTTGTGTTTCACCTTGATTCGTTAAAAAAGCAATGTAATTGCGTCTGTATGAACTTCGAGCCATGCTTTGAACGTAAAAAAAGAAATACCACAACACAACAAGAAACTTTTTCAAATTTCAAACCGTCAAACGAAACAAAACACACATAGGGTAAATAGGTTGTGTGCAGCAAAAAGACCAAAAAATAGAGAACAATCAGCGAAAAACAAATAAATATATACTTACACGCATACAGGGCCTATATACTTGAGAAGTTAGAAGAAGGGGAGAGTTACCATTGCAGCGCACCAAAAGTATGTGTTCCGTGGGAGGTGCCGTCTTCAGTCCACCTCCATCGCGGCCGAGCGTCTGTCACTCCTATTGGTCCCCTATACCGAGAAACGTCCATCTCTCTCTTCTCTCCGGCGCTACTCTACCGCAAGTTGTAGACGTTCCGCAAGTACCGAAGTACCTCAATCAGATCTCAAGTTGAGCCTTGGCCCGTTAGTCACGTAGCCGGCACATTCGTCAGTCTCCGCTTCGCGTCGTAATACCTCGTTCACGGCCCAACAACTGTGACTTTCATTCTGAGGCATTTCGGCACTTGTCCCTTGCCTGCAGAAGAGCCGTACTCCAGGTTGACCAGAGCGCAATTAACAGCAACCCCAAGGAGAATCTCGACCCCCCACGAGTTTCCGACAGCAAGTAAGTGGTCACTCTACGCGTCAAGTTAACTGCGGTTTTCGTAAAGTTGCTCGCTCGCGGTATTGTGCGGTTTTTTCACACGCGAATCAAATCGGCCAAGGACGCAAAGACATCGACGAGAGTCTGATAATTACAAACGCGCGCGCGTGTACAAAGTACAGGATCCGCTGTCACGTCAAGCGTAGCCATCGTCAGGGCGTTAAAAAGAAACCGCGACGGACGCGTGTCGGAGCTTACGCCGGGGGCGTCACCGAGGTCGCCGTCGAAGCCACCAAAGCTGCAATAGTCCCAACGGTTTCTGGGAGCGTACTCAGTTGTCCACTCGAAGAGCACCGATAATGGCCAAAGTGATGAACACCCGTGCCTCGACGAGCTTCGGCTACCAGCACCACGCCATGATCTCGGCCTACAGGACGAGTAAGGCTGCCCCGGCGTTCAGCGCCTCCTCCTCCTCGTCCTCGTCGAGTTCCTCGTCCCCGACGTACCCTCTGTCCCCAAGCTCCTCTGCGTCGTCCTCCCCGAGCGCCATTTCGCCCTTGTCCTCCTTCTCGCTGTTCCAACAGCAGAACCTGCAACAGCAACGGGCCACGGTCAACAATGACAAGAGCAGTGGCACGGCGCTTGGGCCAGTTGGCAGCGGCCGCACCATACTTTATCCTTTCAACCAGAGCCTCGAAGAGGAGCTCAACCGGCTCTTCGCCACCTTCTTGGTTGCCACGCCCTCGGCCCCAAAGAGTGAGTTCATTTGTTTATATTTATTGTCTAATCAATTTGGCTATTCATTTTTCGTGTGTGCCTTTGCTTATCTCACAACTGCGGGTTTTGGAGTTTTATCTCGTTCAAAATGTGAACAAACCATACGAGACCAGTGTAGTTGTGTGTTGGCTTGCCTCTCGCGCATGTATAAATATGTAATGGGTACAGCAGCCGTTACGTTTGAATAACCGTAAATGATTGCGCTTGTTTTAGAATTAAATCGTGTCTCGTGTAAACACAATAACACCATTGTCATTCTGCTTTTATATATGCGAGTTGCCATACAAACAAACATAACCCAATTTCGTCGCCGAGGTTTTGTATTCATTTCCATTTTTTCGCAGCTATACTCGAGCTAACTTAATTTGTGTTCATTAAATTACACGTACATGTGACGGGACAAATATCCACGGTACTCTCTTCCGAGAAAACTGCGGGACTATATTATACTTTTCGAGAGAGAGAGAGAGAGAGAGAGCACGCAAGAAAAGAAAACCCTAGTATCTGTGTAAGTACGTATGAGTGTGCGCGACAAAAGAGGGAGAAAATGAGCGCGTCGTTAGCCGATTTGTTTTGGTTTTGAACGATAGAGAGAGGGAAAGAAGGGCTTTTTGTTTGAGCGTCTTTGCGGCTCGCGAGCAGAGAGAGAAGGGAGGATTTGGTTGTCATGCTGCTGGTTGTGCCATATCTATAGGTATACTTACAGCGTGTACGTGCGACCCTGAAATTTTCAGCTCTGCAGCGTCTCTGATGCGATACAATGCACGCATCGACTTGTCCTGAAGGCTCCGTTTTTATTTGTACTTCGCATTTTTTGATCTACCCACTTCTACCTACTCATATCATCCTTATTTCTGTTTATGTACCAAAGTTATGTGTACCAATTTACGAATTTTGTGAAGCTATAGAGTTGCTACTTTGAATGTAGTTTTGTTACTGACGCAAGGTTTAATTTACAATAAAATAAAGATTAGGTATACACAGCTTCTTAGTTAGATACTTAGCTAATACTTGAAAACTCAATTTTTAAAAATAATGCTAGAGCACATGAATTTTTCTAATCAACAACAAATCCTTTAATTTTAATCCTTTATGACCTATTAGTGTTTGGATTTACTTTTTCTCCTCCTTTCTCTTCGTAGTTTTAATATAAGCATTTATTTCAGAAAATTGTAAGCAAAACATCTTACGTTTCAATACAACACAGCTTGTGTTCATAAACTTTTACGTAAGAAAATAGAGTACTGAACAGCCACAAACATAAATATGCTGTTCTGTCAGATCTCTAGATCAGCGTTGGAAAATGTCGATGTATTTACAATTTTGTTACTTTTTCTATTGCTTCTTGAGTAACTTTTAATTTATGAGAATGAGCAGATGTTGTATCATGAAGCTTTTATGGAAGGAAGGTGCCGTTAGGTTTGAAAAACTGCATGGCTTTATCATTGAAAGAAAAACAAATCCCCTTATTGACATCTATAATAACATAGACGCTAAATTACTTCACATTTGTATTCAGCGTAAAACTGGCTTATGAATACTGTCAGTCCTAAAATCCGAATATTTTACCAATGTAAGAATAAAACTTGGTTTTTCAGCTAATCCAGTATGGGAGGAGTTTAAACACAATGGAAGAGATTTTGAGTACTGTCCAGATACTGAGAATACTGCCCCTGCTCCATCACCTCCGAACAAAAAGAAAAACAAGAAACCTCTTCCCACTGAATGTGTTTTTTGCAAAAATAATGGTGAAGACGTTAGAATTTATAAGAAGCATCTGTTGAAAGATGCCGATGGAAAGACAGTATGTCCAATTTTGAGGTAAGATCCATTTTCTGTAACGATATTACTGTCTGGCTTAGTTTCCTGCAATCTTGAACAATAGGGGTACATACGATCTTACAAATGTACAAGATTAAGTGATTTTCTACTTGTGATGAATATAATTTAAGTTTCATTTCATTTTTTAAAAAACGTTGACTTAAAATATCACCATAAATGGTATGAAATTTGTTACTTTTCAGAAAATATACATGTCCGATTTGTGGGGCTTCTGGTGACCAAGCACATACGCTCAAGTATTGCCCAAGTAACAAGGGTCCCATGAAACTGGCCCCCATGAACGTGCTCAAATCACTGAGAAACTCGACCGGTAGGCGCCGTTCCAAGTAAATCATGCCAACTTCGACTTTTATTGCCCAATCAAGAAGGCATTTGTATAAGTACACAAATGTAAAATTGCAAAGCCATTATTAAAAAAAAAAAACTTAAAAAGTTTTTATTCTTCAAAGGGTATGTATGCATACATAATTTTTTGTCTAGCATTTAATGCTGTTTGCCAATTTATTGCATAATATATTTAAAAATATGCTGGCTTTGTACACTTTTCGCGTAGATTTATAATCTAATCTGTATATATTAATGATTTTTTATTTTCCAAAGCTTCAGCTTAAGTTGACAAGTAGCAAATGAGATCTTCTATCAGATCAGCCATATAAATAATCAATGTTATGAAAATTAAGAGGTATACATAAGCCGACAAAACGAATGGTTTTCATTCTTTGAAAAATATGTTTTGCTAGATTGTATTATTTGACAAGTAGAGTATATTAACAGCTTGACGAATGTCTGCTGTTTATTGCATTTGATAATGTTTGTGTATACATCAAACTGAGATTGCAATGAAAGATTTTTTCTCGATTTTATAAAACTTTTTAGTACATTTTTACGTACATGGAATGAAAAGGGGGAAAAAAATGAAAAAAAGGAAAAAAAAAGAAATGAATGACAAAACAACAAAATCTTAGCTTTTTTGATGTCAAAGATTTCACTAAGATTACGGTCCTCTGGTGACTGCTGGAAATTTTTTCTATTCATGTCTTGTAAGCCTACGTAATTTTGTCATAGTTTTTTGTATCGCAAATCAAGAATTTTTAATTCTTGAATTATTTTTATACGTGATACAGTTTAATGTTTATGCATTTTAAACTAATGCTTATTGTTACGATAAAGACTCTCAGGGGCTATTTGTATATAACTATTTTTTAGGCCATTAAAAGCAATTAACTTGTTTAAAGTGAAATTTTACTTACAAAATTTGTTTTTAAAACGAAATTCACCCATTAGATTTCCATTAAAAATTGTATATTCAAATCTAATTAACTATTTTTGTCGAGAAATTTCAGTTTTGTTGATTAAATTACGATTGGTTTATTTAGTTTTGAGTAGTAATATGATAAACTGTCAAAATTTTAATTTCAAAATCTGCATATATCAAATGCGAAAGTTATCGCTGTCACCTTACCAAAAAATAATGATGCATTTTAGTTCTAATTCTTTACGTAAGTAAGCAATGTATGTACGCATAAATGTTGAATTGTAGCAACATATTTTGAACATATTACAATAATTATAATGTAGTATACATATTACGAAAGATAAAAGGACAAAAAAAATTCTAGATTGACCTAAGTCTTTACAAAGATGGTCGTTAACACTTAGTAATGGTATCAGATCAAAAAAAAGAAAAAAAAGGTAATTAATATATATAAAAGAAGATTCTGTTCACATACTAAATCAAAATGTTACATTTATGTGAGAATTGACGAAAATGTTGACAGACCATAATTTTTATTTAACTTGAATGTGTAGTGATTTTTTTTCACTCAAAATGATCATTAAAAATGTTTTATTTATAAATCAAATTCACAAAATTGTAAAAATATAAAATTTTATCGAATAGTTCTGACTCTGGTATTTTATAGATTAATGCGATCTCAACTATTTAGCTGGATTGCTGTATATTAAATAATTTTTTTTTTTTTCTATTTTCTTTTAAATTGTGGAATTTTGGAATCTAACAATGAATTTACTGTAATTGTCAATTTGTAAAAGCGTTGAAGATGAAAAATTTTATATGAATTTTTTTACGAATTATACATGCTGTTTTGTGATTCTGCGATTGACACAATAAGTAACATCAAATTTTAAACGGGTGAATTTATAAATCAATTTTAATTAGTACCTTTATCGACCTGTAAACGATGAGTATTCGAAATGTCGTTAATTAAATTAGAAAATTTGTAACCGTTTGTGGCCGACTATTACTCGTGAGAATAGTTTTCTCCATGAAATTGTTAGTTATAATCAATTTTCAATAATTGTATGTGAGAAATTAATCATTGAGTAATTTGAGTCAAAAATCCCGTTATTTTAATGAATTAATTTTTTAGAGAAATTCAATGCATAGCTAGTTTTGTTTGAAAAAGCATTATAAAATAGAAACGAAAACTATTCTCTCTTACTTCTCCACAGCAGCATTTTAATAGAACATGTAGAAGTAACGCAATTTTTCTTTTCTACAGTTGTGCCTACTTTATTATTATCATTTTTTTTATCTACTACAAATCAATATTTACTCGTTTGTCTTACTATTTTGTATTATTCATGGCAATAATAAATCATTATAAAATACAAGTTCATTTCATTAAACATCCTGTCTCCGTACCTATTCCGTAGTGACCTGGTTTTATCCACGTATTAAAGTTCATTTGCTAAATAATGGTATAATTGAACCTTTGTGTGTACACGAACTTTCTCTTTTAGCGCTTCGCCAATGCAACATCTATATTTTCCACGCACGTCGTCATTTGGGTATTTTTTTAATCTTATATAATTTTCTTTCACAGAGTGCGCAGTAGGCGTGAAGCTTATTTTTTTACTCCCAGAGTTAAAAAACTTGAAAATTCCACTTCGATTACAAATCTTGTACGATTTATTTATCTGATCTTTCGTGTTGGTAATTCAAATCACAGTGGAAATTTCATAAAGTGAAAGTGGGTCGTGGTATATAAAAAGAGTCAATGAACATTTGTAAGTACAGTAGTATAAAAAATTTCAATCAGCTAGAGAAAAGCAATTGATATTCTATACGTTTAGCTTCTAATGTAAAACAATTTAGATTTACCTTACTATTTTAAAATTTGCGTAAATGGTCTTCTGATAAAAAAAAAAAGGTTTAGAAAAAATCTATCATTTTTTCCATGTAGTTTATTTCGGAAGCATTGTAGCTCGTAATGTTTGTTCCATTTTGCAAAGTTCATTGACGCCCATTCTTTTGCGAAAATGAATGTTTAATACGTAAAATGCATCTTCCGACTACCGGTAATAATTTACAGGTCGCGTGACGCGCTATGCACGAGAGGTAGTCGCACGCAGAAATGGCAAAAGCGCAGTTTCCTCCCTGATTGTTTCAGTTTCGATCGGGACTCGCTGTTGTATGCATGTACAGCTGACCAAGTAACTTATCGAAACAAATTACTCATAGTAGGTCTGGTGACAACTTTACGTGATTTTTTTTTTTACTTTCAAAGTGAATGAAAAATAGTTTTTGGATGTTGTGATTTCCAAAGTGTTACGTGAAACAATGGCCCACATTCCGGCGTAGTCGGTCACCCGGAAAAGCGAGCGACGCTCTGTCGCGATGAGCGCACCGTCCGACGACGTGAACCACATCAGTATTTCGTAATTTCCTCTTATTTGGCGTCAAAAAGAGGCCTCATCCTGCTGGACAGTTGTGAGTAAATATTATGTACAACCGCAAACGATGGGATGGCCCGAAAAATTGTATGACGTGCGACAACAATTTGTACTTTTTGCTTTCTTTTTTCGTCGTGTTTGTGGTCGGATCGCGGTTTCGTGAATCAGTGACGAGGTATTCCGGCAAAATTATTTTTAATCCATTAAGTAATCCTCGAATTTTTTTATTTATTATTTTTTTTTTTGACGAAGGATCCACTGTTTCCATTTAAGTTACATTATTCCTCTCAATAATGTGCAACGCAAGTTTCTGTGGTGATTTGAAAATTTTGTAATTTTAAAACAAACGAAAAAAAAAAATCTTGCGTGACTCGGTTTTTTTTTAAGTTGTGCATGGATTTAAAATGTACTAGTTTCGTTTAAATTTTATCCGATCCATCGCCTGTGCAAACACGAAACCAGTACTATTTTTACACCAACATTGCGATTCAAATATACAATTCTATTGTACGGGCAACCAAAATAGCGCAGTTTTTATTATTTTACAACAAACTTGTTCGTATTAACATCAGAAAAAAATTTTTTTATCGCCCCTTTCACACTCGTACGTCTATTTGCGTGTAACCCTTGAGTCCTTTGTTGCATAAAAAAAACCCGTAGAACCCCGATCCTCTTTTGTCCAATTAACCCTTTACACCCTTAGCCCTAGCAAATCCCCTCACGACGCCTTCGGTGCAAAGCCAACCCATGAGATTCGAGAGTACTTTTCTTCGTCAGATTTATCATTTGTAAAGTTGATCTTACCGGAAATCAAACCCTCGGCCCCCCCCCTCCCATTGAGCAGCCGTACCACCAGCCCTAATCTACAACCTCCCCTACTCACATATGATTTCAACATTTTACCCAAAATTTGTGCAACTTGAATACCAGACTTATGCGTTAATTGATATTGACATACTTATTAATATACGAACGAAAAAAATCAACCACCACACATTCCACGTTTTTGCTTTCCCGCGCACCGAAAATCGATTGAGATAACGAACGAGCTCTGTAAGTACATCAACTTATCTCTCGAGAGCGATCGGAACACGTGTCGAACAGCATCACCGAGTTCCCCAACGCCGCGACATGAAAAGAAACGCAGTCACGCTCGGCAGAGTTCGCACAGTTGTCTGTCGGCACTTCTCTCCCGGCATTTTCGCCGGCCGCGGGGAACCCCCCGCGTCAAACAGCCGACAAAACTGCGTTCGAGCGCGACGCGTGTCGCAACGCAGGAAAACCCCGGCGAGGCGCAAGAGGAAACGAAAAAACGCGGCTGACGCTCGTCACTACTCCCTCAGCGCACACACTCTCTGTACGGCCATGCCGGCGAACAAGCTGCTCGTCCCTCTGCTGGTAGCGGCAGCGGTTGCGCTGATTGGCTCCGCCGACGACTCCGGCAACGCCGTAGCTCCGAAACTGGGCGAGGATGGTCACCACCTGGAGCTGTCACCGATCGTCGATGTGGTTCAAGCCAACATCAGCAACGTCAACGTGACCGGCGTACCCATCGGGAGGACCTTCCTGCTGCTCAAGCTGCTCAAGGAGAAGCTCAAGAAGCTGCACGACCTCGACTACCCGACCGAGCCTTTTCAGGGCTGCGTCTGCGTGAATTTTTACTTGTGCGGCCCCAACGGCACGGTTCTCGGGGATGGCAACTCTTACGTCGACATTCGGTACGTGTGCCAAATACATCGGTGTTTTTTTTTTTTTTTTATTTTATACTCCAAAGTGTGGGTTTGTACGAGGTAATCTTTCAGGTTCCGCCGGTGCACCGGCAACTACGAGGTTTGCTGCTACATCCGGCTCGTCCTGCCTCCTACGTCGACTACCACCACCACCACCACCATGAAGGCGGCACCGTCAACGATACAGACTACCACTTCGACTACCACTTCGACGACTACGACGACCACGACACCCAGGACGGTGGTCTACAACAATGCCTACTGCTACTGCGTCCTGCCCTACCAGTGCGTTGTCGTCAGCGGGCAGGTGTACGGAAGCGACGCCGTGTTCAGTCAGCGCCTGCAGCCCTACGTCTGCACCACGGGTCTGGTCTGCTGCTCCTCCTACTACCCGGGTGGGTACAATTGTCCTTTTTTTTTTTTTTTTTTTTTTTTTTTTTTAATTATTCATTTGCGTACTGAAATACATAGCTTTAACAATTTTTATTCACAAAAAAATAATTCGTGAAGAAGAATGCGTTTAAATTGTGGTCATTCGCCAGAACGTCTTTGTATTATAAATATTGAGATGCACTGATTGACTGATTTGTGAGAAAAATGGTTAAAAAAAAAAAACCGAAGAGTGTATGTTGAATTGTAATAAAAACATTGTATAACAAACTTACAAAGAAAAAAAGTACAGGACAAGACTATTACAGCCTGCATTGGCAAGGCATGAAAAAAAAAGTTATTAAAACGTCGACTGGCCGTGACCCGCGAGCGACCAGTCGAATACCATAAGACTAAATGAAAAAAAAATCTATATCATAATTATGTGTCGTTTGATATAAGTAAGTTAATAGTATAATGTATATTTATGATTTTATACACAATCTAATGAATAAAATATGATAAAGTAAGAAAAAAAATTACTCACACTCTGCTGTACATTCCTGTGTTGTGCATTTCGTTACAACATATATTATTATATATTGTATACACACACAATGAACACGCACACATGTACAACAACATTATTGCATAAGCATATGTATATTGATGTACATATATACGTATTTATGCATATGCTGTGCACGTATACGTCGTAACGAGTATACATACATGATATTATATACATATATATTTATTTATAATATTAATTACATAGCTGATCTAAACGGACCACAATAAACAAAACAAAAAAAAGTACATCCGTAAATATACAATATACATACTGTGTCACCTATGATGAAAAATTAATGAATTGAGCGAAGCGAATAAATAGTTGTAATAACGATGATGCATTATGATCAGTCACAATATATATTATGGAAAGCCAACGGGAGATATAGAGAAATAACGTGAAAATTGTACATTTGTGACAAAACAAATGTACGGATAATATTATATACGAGATTATATATGATTATAATACATCGCACGATAATGCCGAATTTATAAATAAATATACATACATAATATGTATGTATAAATACGCGCACGTGACATACGATTTTTTTAATGGTACGAATGATCTCGCAATAAATAAAACGATACGATGATAAGTAATTCAACGTTAGTACCTTATCATCGGACGCCCACTTTTATTACGTCCGGATATGCTATTAACTTTGTATTTAAATATATATACATACTATACGAAATACAATGTACACAAGGAACATTTTTACGTATGTACCTCATTGTATACTAGTGACGAAGCATTAATTTATTAATCTATGACTGGTTGTAATGCATTTTCCAACACATGGAAAAAAAAAAAATAGTTTCCAGAGATCACTCGTTCATTAAACCGCAAAAATATACAATAGCTATACTATCGATACAGTGTACAAAGTTACATTGAGAAATGAAAATAAATATACGATGCCGTGTGAATAAAGCGCAGCCATTACTTCGCAGATCAAACCCTCGGTTTCATTTTTCTTCGATGATTTTTGACTATCGTAAAGAGTTTATAGTGTTGTGGCAGTTTTTGAAAGACATGCAGGGACATATTGTAAGCGAACTCGGCCGATTCCTCGACGAGGGGTGCATAAAAAAAAACAAAAAAAAAAAAACCGATTTTCTTTCAAAACCTATCAGAAATCAAACGTAATGAGATGGCCGTGTATCAAAACTTTATTTTGAAAAGCGACGAAATGTACAATTGCGCGTATACTTAGGTTGTATGAAGATCAATCAAGTGTTGTCAAAGTTACGATTTGTACGTGCATGTGTACAAAAATAATGTAAAACTAGTATTATACAAGTTATTTCATGCAATACTTAAATATGTCGTTTCTGTTGAACAAATGAATAAAGCAAAATGATAAATGATAAACATAATTAACATGTACATAATACATATTTATATATGTAAACTGTGGTGAACTTTGTTACTGAAAATGTCGATATAATTACGTGGATCGTAGCTTTGACAACATTTTAAAAGATCAGAATAGGCTCTTGTGCATCAAAATACATAAATATAAATAGTTGAATCAAAGAGTTGGTTTTAGATGTATATTTTTTTGTTTGATTTTCTGACGGAGGAATCGGTCGGGGTCTCTTGGCGATGCGTCGGTTCACAAAATATATAATACAACAAATACAGGATCAAATCGATTGTTAGCATATATAATATACAATACCGCCGGATAAGCTCTGGTTGTAATGCATACTTGCATATTGTGCGAGGCTATTTTTCAATGTCCAATGTTTAACGAGCATTATTTGCAAGTTTTCTTGTATAATGATAGTAAAGCAAAGGAAAAATAAAGAAATAAAGTAATGAATTTTTCTGAATACTGTTATGATGGTCGTTGTGTAAAATGTAGAAAAAAAGAAAAAAAAATGCCAATGTGATTTCACTTTGATGAGCGATGAAATCACAATAAAACATTTTTCACCCCTCCAATCGAGTATTTCTCTTTATCCAAAGTACTTTTTTCAGTTTTTGTTTTTTCATTTCTTTTTTAATTTTTTTGTTTTGTTGATGATTATTCGTCCTTATGTATGGGGCATTTTTATTTTATTTGGTGCGTAAACCGGTTTTATCCTACATTTTAGTTGTTTTTAAAAATCATAAAATCATGGGTAAGTAGAAACATTAAATTCTAATTTTTTAAATACATTTTTTTTCTTCATAATGGCTCTTCATCTCTAGAAAAAATCACAGTGTGAGTATTTGTAACATTAGTTTTTGAAAAAATTATTAAATGAGGTTATGTTCTATATTTTTGACTAAGTATGCAGGTTATGTTCGCTTGTTTTCAAAATATTGTAAGCACATACATCGGAAATATAAGTAGACTGCTACCAGTGTTTTTACTAAAAAAAGTGTCCATTCAACAAAACAACAGTAAAGTGAGGTTTGGTGTTAAAAAAATTTCTTGATGTTTCAAATTAATTGATCTATACTTTTTTCATATTGTGTTTTGTAGGAAATAATTTATGAGTTTTACTTTTGACTTGCATAGTAGGTGGGGATCCTCCTAAACGCTTCAAATCCAACGACAGTACTGTAGGAAAGTTAAAATTTACATAGCAAATTCCACTGCATGGAAAAAATAAAAAAAAATATTAGCCAAGGGTTAACGTTTCAATTTTGTTGAGGAACATAAAATGTTTTACGAGAAACTGAAGAGACAGTAGGAATAGACCCTACAACCAACAATTCAGAAGCATCGAGTACTATGTGTATATATGTTTTGGGACGAAGATTCATAACAAAATAATAATAATAATAATAATAATAATAATAATAATAAATGGNTTTTTTTTTTTTTTTTTTTTTTTTTTTTTTTTTTTTTTTTTTTTTTTTTTCATGGTACAAAACGTGTTTGATGGGGGACGTCGTTTTGCGCCTGACTGTGTGTATACATATACCCGCCGACATATGTACATCAAAGCTCAAATTGTGTCCAACAGGTCTGGCACCGCTGCCGATACCCCACGCGATAATATCGCCCTTACCAGGAAAGTATATAACCGACCGAACCGCGAAATCGATCCGTCACACGCAAGTGTATTTATATACGTTAAAAATAAGGGGGCTGAGCTAACTGAATCTGTGTAATGTCTTTGGTGCAGGTGTTGCTCCAGTTCCGTTACCCGGGCAGGGTTTGCCGCCCCTGGTCATACAACCGCAGCCTCAGCCAATAGTGGTGCAACCGGCGCCGCCGATCGTTCTGCCGGCACCGGCGCTGCCGCCCATAGTCTACGGCCAAAGCTGCGTGTGCACCCTCATCAGCCAGTGTAGTTTAGGCTACGTGCCGGTCACTGGTCTCGGAAACATCGATCCTCGCTTGGTGCTCGCAAGGCAGGGCCAGCCGCCCGGCACCTGTACCGGCACCGCCAACATGTGCTGCAAACTCCGGCTCCAGGCGTCCACGTCCGTACAACAGCAGCCGCAGATCAACATCGGCAATCTGGCTGGGCTCGACATTAAGAATCCAGGTCTTTATTTTTTTTTTTTTTTTTTTTTTTTTTTTTTCATTCCATTGCATGAACACCCAAAAAGTCGTGGATTACCTAAAAATACCGATTTCTAAGACGATTTTTTTTTCCACAATTTAGTTTTTCGTATATATAAATATATACATATGCACATCTCCTTATCGAGTTGTTATAATTAATATTTTCGTCGAGTAAAAACACTCACCATAGTACTTATCTACGTATAGATACCGTTGCACAATGCGGCGCGTTACGAAACTCGGACGATAAAACTCGATAAAGCGTATGGAAAACAGAGAGCGGGGGGAAGGAAGTGCCTTTTCGCAAAATTTCGTTTCCCATATCGACCACGCAGCGTGTGACCATTAATAGAAATCGTTATCCAAATGACTTACTCGTGGGTTATATATCAGCCTCGACCTATATGATGTGTTTGTGGTTGTTTTTTTTTTTTTTCAGGAACCTCAAACGCCTGCGAGTGCGTTGGGACGGAGCGGTGCGCGGACGGCCAGGCCGTGACCTACGACGGCATCGGAGCGATAGACCCGCGCTTCGGCCCGTGCATGAGCCCCAGCCTTGTGTGTTGCAGGCTCCAGGGCCGCCTGAGAGCGGATATCGTATTCCCGACGACCACGACACCTTCCAGCTCCACCTCGATCAGGTTTACGTCTCCATTGTGCGGCATCAGGAACACCACTTATGCCGATAGTTGTACGTTGCTTCGTTTTCCTTTTTATTTCCTTCCCGGCGTTTTATTACTTTTCAGTCGCCTGCAACCAACCGAGGGATGACAAAAATCGATACGAGAATCTTGAGGGCATTGGAATGGCACGTCATGTGTACCGAAATGTGTAACCAGAAAAATACCCCAAGACAGAATATGCATTCAATGTTTTTTTGGAGTTATTCAATATTTGTGATCTTATTTCGGAACGGTATTATTGTATAGAGCACTGTCTCCAAAATGGGATTAGAAACAGGTGCAACAAGTGTATCGAGAGGGTACATATATATACACGCGCTCTTGAACCATGAGAATAGGTAAAGAGACGATTGTAACAGCAAATTGGGCCTTAGATTAGGGTTTAATGTATGATGCTGTTGCTCTAGTCTATTTTACACCTTGTGATAGTCCGGTATTGTTGACGAGACCGAGCAACCGAATCCTTATTTCACGTATAAAAAACGATGAATATCGATTTCAGCCCCGTTGGAAGCCGGGAGCGCGTACTTTGCCGAGTTCCCGTGGATGGCGATTCTAACGGTGCGCCAGACGGGTTCGGACGACGCGTTCAAGTGCGGTGGCTCGCTGATAAGCTCCCGGGCTGTGCTGACTGCGGCTCATTGCGTCGAAAGGTTGCCACCCATCGATAAATATACACGATTGAGCTAGTTGTAATTTTTGTGAGTTGAAAAAAAACAAAAAACAAAAAAAAAAAAAAACTCAACAGCCTGGAGCCCAGCACTCTGTTCGTCCGCCTGGGTGAGCTCGACACGCGGAGTACTACAGAGCCGCTGCCTCACCAGGAACGCGTGGCCCAGCGTATCATCGTTCACCCGCAGTACTACTCCGGTGCGCTTTACAACGACGTGGCGATCGTCGTTCTTTCGAACCCTTTCGTCTACGACATCAACGTGAGGCCCGTTTGCCTGCCCATGCAGGGACAGGAGTTCGCGGGTGGTACCGTGTGCTACGCGACCGGCTGGGGAAGCAGTGCCTTTGGTAAGTACTTGGGTCGCCAAAACACGCGAGGACTTTTTTTTTTTTTTAACGGTCAAAGAGGCTTTTTTACATTTCGTTTGAAAGGTTTTTAGCAAAAAAGAAAAAAATCTCTTATGATTCGTTCGTTGCAAATGCTTGGATTTATGCAGATAATAATCAGTAATTATCAATTTGATAAAAACTAAACTGTTTCAATTATTTAGTACAAAATTTTTAATTACTTTTTCGGATCCTCATCCTTAAATCAAAATAAATATAAAGTACGTTAGTAGCTTTTATTACAAGTGCAAGCACGGGCTGTACGAAACCCGTCTTTTTTACCATCAGAGTGGCAAGGAAAGATTCCTATAATATTTGTTGCAGGTTCGAGCGGTAACTATCAGGTGGTCATGCGGAAAGTTGATTTACCGATGGTCGATAATGCCGAATGCCAGAGCCGTTTGAGACAAACGAGACTAGGGCCGGTGTTCCGGTTACATTCGAGCTTTGTATGCGCTGGTGGGGTGGAGAACAAGGACACCTGCCACAAGGACGGTGGCGGGCCTCTCGTTTGTCAGGACACCGGAACAGGGAGATTCATGCAGGTCACCTGTGGATCACTTTTTTACCAATTATTCTGAATCCATTTTTTTTGGAGCTCGAGAGTTGGCGTATTCAGAAAGCTTTCGAAAGGAGATACATTTTTTTGTTGTTTATGAGGTATGAGTTTAATAATTTGTTTTTTTTTTTTTATTTTTTTACAGGCTGGCATCATTTCCTGGGGAATCGGATGTGGCAACAAAACACCCGGCGTCTACGCGAGTGTCGCGCAAGCGCGGCATTGGATTCTTCGGCAGTTGGAAACTTACAAGATCCTTGACTGAAATTTTGCAGTTTTTAAGTTTTTCGCTATTGTATTTGCAATCTAGTCTGCCAGTCAAAAAATAAAGTAATGTGTTACTCAAGGTTTTTGTAGTGTTGTATAATATGATTTTGTCCTTACGTCCATTCAAAGAGCAAAGAAATGCGCAAACCCTGTCCCTTTAATTTTATCTTTTTCCAAACCCCCTTAGTTAATATACTGAGTGATATTGAGAGTTGCAGTTATTCAATAAAAATTATTTAATTTGCTGAGCAGGTATTGTTCGTTACGTAAAAAAAAAATTCCAAGGTGATCCAAGTTTCCAAATATCGCTAGAATTGTAATGCTAGTGCGAGTAATTTGCTGACCGATCCTTATTGATGGAGCCTTTTTATTTTTTCTAAATGATTGGCTAAGATAGACCATAAGAAGTGGTTTAAAAAGAATAACTCTTAATAATAATTTTAATGAAAAATAACTTTAATAAGGATGTTAATAGAACAAAAAACTGGTCAAAAAACTTAATATAATAATACTTATTAAAAAAATAATCTAAGTTCATATCAAGTCACATAATATAGAACGTACGATTGTGGTTTTTAATTTTACGTGACGTACGGCTGATACGATTTTACTTAACAATTATTTTCAAACCATTTACTTACTAACGTCACAGGATTTAAATCAAAAGTTGTACTCAGAAGTTATAGTTGAAAAAACATTTACGCAATTGGTGTCATTCTCAGGGTTGCACAGAATCATGTACCTACGTTTACAAACGTGAAAACATTCAAGTAATACTTTGTTCTCTTTTAGCAGTACTTATTGTATAATGGTTAAATAATAAAATATAAAAAATATATGTACGTACCTATTATTATGACAAAAAGTTCAAATCAGATGGCACCTTTGGACATGTCCTGATGTCCAGAGCAAATATAGTCTGACATTGTCGAAAAGCTAAGTATTGGTATTTTTAAACAAAAGATGATTTTTAGATGTAATTTTTTTTTTTTTTTTTTCTAAGCTAACCTATCGATGTTTTTTAGTAATTCTTTACATTTTTTGCGTGTACTCTGAACCTTTTACCTTAGTTTTTATTTATAATTTCTGATTAAGTAAAAAAAAATGTTGGCTCTGTCGATAAAAATACACGAAAAGCGCGATAGTGATGACTTGTTACCTTTCAAGTGGATTACTGAAAACTCACGTAAACATTGGCTGTTGAATAAACATTGCTACGATTTGTTATTGCCAAAATTTTGGCCAAATCCTCCGTTATTGACAGACGAAGTAAAAACAAGAACAAATTATTTTTATTGATGCATCGTATTTTAGTTTCATTTTTCTTCACAAAGCTCGTTATATTCAGAGTAAATTTTACTGGCATGTGTACACCAGTAGTGAAAAATACGACAAAAATTATCAAAGAAATCTTGGTTATTCGTTAAATTCGACTCTTTCGAGGTAAATACATTTTTCATGATCACAATAAAGTGCAAATTTATACGTACCATAAAGGTTTTTGTATCTTTTAACAGAAGGTTACTGAAGAAGGTTGGGTCCTTGAAATATATTTTACTGTCCGAAAGTTTGATTAATTTAGATCACTTCAATGACGTCTTGGGTCGAAAAAAATTTATTCAAAACACAGGAAAATTTATCAGGTAATAAGTTAAGATATATTTAAAACGTGATTATTAATTACGCTTTATACAGGTTTATAATAAAATAAGGAGTGCGTGAAAGTAGATGGAAACTTTTTTTCAGATGCACTTAAAATACAACAATTTTTAACTTATTTTAAAAATTTTATTTTATCTAAAAAGTAAAAAAATAAAAATAAAATGTTACGTTTTGAAGAAATGTCTTATTTGATTTAAATTAATACTATTTAGTATGAACATATACTTATTTTACTTAAAAATATAATTATTTGTTTGCGTTCGTATAAACGTTTGTTTGGATTAACGATATCTTTTCTTTTAACGTACATACCTCCATAAATATGAAAAAATTTGTAAGCGTGTTATTAATGACAGACGATATCATTTCTCAGCTTTTTTGGTTTTTCAATTTATTTTCCATCGATTTTCAAATTAATTTTCGGTTTTTGTTGAATTTCGGGATGATAAAAATTTTGTACAATTTTCTAGAATATTCAAAAAAATAAAATATTATACAAAAAATAGAACGTTGTTGCAAATCAGTAAATATTCGGTTACTATCCCAGTACAGACTGGATATTCACTGGATTCAGAACCAATATAAATTATTTTTTTTAATTATCCATACACATGACTAAATGAAAAAACTTCACCAAATTTCCAGGAACGAATCACTTTTAGAGATAGTTTTCTTCGAGGGTTTAAGACTGACAAAAGCCGAAGGGCATGAAATTTTGTGCGCTCTCGCATCATCCGAGAAATCTCTGAGATTTCTGTTTCTCTGGCATTTTTTCAAGCTAAACGAGTACTCACAATCGAAGAAAATAAAATTATTTCCCGATCACAAAGCAAAAAGACACGCCAACTTTTGTTTTCACCATCATTGGCTGTCTGCGATCGAAAATCTCGAACATATTGAAACATTAGCCATAAACTATTCTTACATTTCTTCAAGCACTGGAGATCTTTTGATCCACGTTGCCAGGTTGTATTTTTTTTTGTTTGTTTTTTTTTTTCCGAGTGCTTATTTCTAAATATGTTACTAATCTGTCATTTAGACAATTGGGACAAAACTGGAGATGGTTACAGCTCCTTTGCTTGGAGGAAGAAATTCCAGGGACAAAAAATTCAAGGGGAGAATACAATGCAGTCACGATTCCTGATCTCGCTTGGTCCGTCGCACGAAAATTTTCTCCCAAATTAAGAGTTCAAATAGTCTTGCGTAAATATATAAACACTACTTTTTGGATGGGAAGAAAAATTTTGATTAAAGTGCACGTCTTAAGAGTTATAAATTTTGATGTTTCGTTAGTTGGAATTCCCGAGTACGATCAGCACAAAAAATTCATCACGGAAAGCATTCCCATGCACACGGTCGTTTTGTCAACAAATCGTGAATTGTTGTTTCACAAACCTTGCTTCCTGGACTGTACATTCAAGACTATGTATCTCTGGTACCACAGGCATTTGGGTAATTAAATTTACTTCCGGAGTCGTACAACAATTTTTCGTACGTACAAATAGATTTTTCTTTTTTTTTAATTTTTCTTGTAAATTACAGAGCAGCTGTATATCAATTTATGGGATCATAGAGAAATGTTTGATCATCATTTGAGGAGAATTTTTCCATGTTTACCAAATTTAAAGGTTTTCGAGTTTGTGGGTGGTATGAGAGATCCGGTGACGATTTGCACAATGTGCTGTCAAATAAAAATTGGGACTTGTGGTGAGTATCGTTAATACTGTGTAATATAATTTTATTGAAAAAAATATTTTTCACTCATCAACAAAACTGACAGCTGTAAAAAACGTGACGATGCAGTTACAAATGCAAGACTGTAAAAAAAACGGAAATACGCTTGCAAGAATAAATCGATTTTTGGAGTGCTTCCACGGTGATTTTGATAAATTGGGAGTTGAATTTAAAGTTTACTGTTATCCTGCCTGATATAACCGAGAAAAAGGTATTATCCAGGAAATTTTTTTGAATCATTTTTGACAAACAGACTTGAATTAAATTTTTTAAAATAAATATAAAAAATGCTGCAAATAATTTCATTTATGTTTTCTTCATAATTATTTTTGTACCAACTATTAAATATATTTCAATTCAAATTATGACGATATCTTAATATTGATCATGATTTTTCTTATTTGATTCATTGATTGGTTATACTAATTAGTTTTTATATTAGTTTTTTACAATTATGAGGATTAATATAATTTTGAAACTAATTTTTTCAAACAATTTTAGTTTCAGTAAGTGTGAAGAAAAACATGTCCGAAAAAAAATTTACAAAGAATTCTTTTTTTGTATCTTATCCTATATAGTGGATACAACTATATTAAAAATTTAATATTTATGTGATACATAAAAATAAAAATTATAAATAAGAATTTTATTGATGTATCTATATTTTTTTTTTTTAAATTAACATTTTTCTTCTTTCCAAACAGATTTTTTTTTAATATTACCTATTAATTGATTAATTAAATTTTTTTAACACCTTCAGTGGTAGGTACTAGAGTAAAAGTCAATGATAATGTTTTAATGTGTTTTTAATAAAAGTTATATACCTATGTACAGTATGTACAATGTCCCAAACAATACAACATGACTAAAGTAAAAGAAAAAAAGTCTAAGTAAATGGAACCTAAATCGTACCAACACCGATTTCTTCATTTTCTTTTTGTCCAAAAAGTTTTTTTAATGTCATTAAATCTTTCTGGGCATCTTCAGCTTTCCGACTATCACCACTTGTTTGACTACTCACTACTTTCATACGATTAACGTTTGGCATGGTTTTTCGAGGATACGTTTCAACCAAGAATGGGTCATCTGAATTTACCGTTACATCTTGGCTCCATTTCGAGAGCCAATCGCTTCCTTCAGTCTAAAAAATATTTTCATACGTAATCACTTGACTTTACTTTCCGACTCATAAATAATTAAAAATTTAATATTAATTCGCCCTACCTTTTGATTTACTTTGTTCGATGTATCATCAGTTGTTTTCAATTCAGAATTGACCTTGTACTTTTCTAATAGCTGTTTTATTTTTGATTCCATTTGGTACTGGGCAACAGCTTGAACTAATGGACCCATATTGCCTTTTAGAGCAGCCGACATTAGGGCCTTATTAAAACAAAGGTGTGGATCAATTATATCAGTTTTATTGCTCATGTAATAATAAAAAACTCGATGATCTTACTGCTCTTTTCCTTTTGGTATCAGTTCTAATAGGATCGGTTTCTTTTTGTGGTCCATATTCCAAGAGGACTTGGAAATCTGCATGTTCACCAAGTCTGAAGCCTACACCGATTCTAGAATCAGTTCCTGCAACGAAAATAATTATCACCAAACAGTTAATTTTTTTTATCAGTATTCATGGTACCAAAGTTCATAGATGTGGCATGAACATCGTCCTACAACATTTATGGCAAATTCAATAATTTTTAGTTTAAAGCTGAAATATCTCACATAAATAAATTGTAAACATATATAATTTGTTATAAGAAGTAAATTAGTTCATTGAAATACCTTTTTTAATCGGTGGAATGTTGGAATATATCAATGACAATATAGTCGGGAGTTCTTCTGGAACAATTAAGCTTTTTACACCTGCAATAAATTACTTATTTAATTTCTGAACCTTGATAATTAATAAAAATANTTTTTTTTTTAATTTAAAAGTTGCTCTGATGGAAAAAAATTGCCAGACCTAATGTAAGATTTATTTCAAAGTTTTTAAAAAATATTATGATTCAAATCGATGATTTATATTGGTATTACACCATGGCTAAGCAATTGGCATCCCGATGACAAGACAGTTTACAGCTTTTGTAATGGTACATCACTAACATAAAACCAATATTGAATTATTTAACATTTGATTCGCATCATGTAAAGTAAATCATAAAATACATTGGTTTCGAATCGACTGCATCGTACACTGAGAGAAAAAAGTAATAAAAATTAGAGAGAAATTTCAGAAAATCGGATGCAAGCTGGCAAAAACCGAAAAAATTATCGTTTTCTATAATAATTATTATTGTTTAAGCTGTACAAATTATACTTTGAATGGTTAAAATTATAGTTAAAACAGTAAAAATTATTATGCTAGAACAGTAAACCTTAAAAGGATGTGTTGATAAATTTTACTTTCCCGCATGGAAATTCTTACTATTCTAACCATAATTTCTACTTTTTAAATCATAATTTTAACGGTTGAAATAATAATTTTTTTTTTTTGCCGACTTGCATCCGATTTGTTCCAACCATATTTTCTACTTTTTAAATTATAATTTTAACCGTTCAAACAATAATTATTAATATTGAAAATAATAATTTTTTCCTTTTTTGCCAATTCGTATCTGATTCACTGTGCAGAATGGTAATTTTTGCTGGAATTTCTCTATGATTTTTATTATTTTCTTATGCTCTTGAAAAAATTGCGTAACGTTGGCGTGCACATGCTGTACGACGACCGGCAAACACCTATAATAGTATTTGCGTTCACGTATTACCCACAAGCTTTACAATTCACAACACGCGAGAAAAAATCTGCAGCTATGTGTGTCAGTGGGACCTTCCGTTGTAAGCCTGTGCCTTCTCTATGGAAAGCAAAAAACCCCAAAGATTCACCTAATTGGCGTTTCTTCGTGAAACAATTTGCATTCGGACTTTTGATATTTTTTTTTATTTTTACTGCGAATAACGGGGTAACCGGAAAGTATATCAAGAGCAAAAACTTTAATGACAGAGGCGTTGAAGGAGAGTTGTTTGATGACAACAGAGTGGCAGTTCTTACATCGACCAAGGAGGAGCAGGATGGCCAGGCTCAGACAGGTGGCTTTGATGACAGACAATGGCATTTTGGCGATGATGGTGGGCAGAAATAACCTACGTTATCCACCAACGAAGAAACATGGCTCCTTTTTTCTGCTGTCAGTGCACGCAACCTGTACAGGAGTATTGCACAATTTATCAGTTCAAGGAACTCGACTTTCAAAGCAACGAAGGCCTCGGGTTGGACGAGAAAGTATGTGTGTTTTTGTGAACGCTTTTTTTTTTTCATTCACGTTGATTTTTTACAACTTTTTTTTGGTCACGTGTTAAAAAGTGCCAAGGTTGACTTGTCACTTGGGTATTATTTTTTTTTATGTGTTTATCCCAGTACGGTGAGTGTACAGGTACTGTCTTAGCATTACGAAACTTACTATTAGCACTTGACTAGTAACGTGTAAATTAATATTACGACATAATTATTTGTAAAACAAAAAAAATTTTACTTTAGTGGCTTTGTTCAAAAAAATTATTGTTTCTTTTTATAAAGTGCGAATAATTTAAAATTAAACGAAAAATTTACTCTGTCTCAGTATTCAATATAATAATAAACTTTTTACAATTACATCGGTACGAAAAGATATTGTAATATTAGGCAGCATCGAATAATATTGTCGATTCTTTTTTTTTCCAAGAAAACAATATTATTGTAAATTTTAATACGCACTTCAAATAATGTTACTACTCAAATAAATATATACCAACTGATTGTATTTAAAAAATTAATCAGTGACAGTAACTTATACGTACACACAATTGGCAACATTAAAAATATCTTTATGAAATTATAGCTGTCTCTTGAAACGCGTACAAAACTTAGAATTTATAAACAAATAAGTATACCACGCAAAGGGGCTTCTTTTAAAAATCTGTTTGTACGATTGCAAGAGACAAATTTTTAATATAGAATGATGGCATACTTTTTTGGCTCGAACTTTCTACTTTTTATTATTTGGGAATCAAGCAGTTATTCATATGGTCCAGTTTCGGAGAAAGCAAGGGACATTATCCAAATTTTAACTGATGTACAAAAAAAGAAATCCAATCAAATCTTGAGTTACCACTAAACCAGCAAATGAAAACCCGCAATAATTTAAATGTGGTATCTCTATAATAATTCGTTACTACAACATAACTTTTTTTTTTTAAACTTTGCACACCAACGGTACGATTCACGTGTTTGCCATTCACACTTTCATTTTAGACTCAATCTAGCGTCTAATTCCTGTCCTCGAGATGATTATTACAGCAAAGGTGCTCTCCGCGACTTTCGTTTGAAAGTGAAATCAACCGCTGCTGCAAAACCATCGACTGTTAGCACACGCGCGCACTCGCACACAAACCAATTCTCACTTGAACAAAAACGAAAAAAAATCACCCACACGATAAAACTAAATGACAAAAATTACCACTAACTTTGCCAATAGGATCCAACAGGAAGAGAAAAAAAAAAAAAGAATTACAAAGTGATGTCCAAGACACTGGCGATCGACTGACGCGTCGTAGAGTACGTATGGTGCGGCGCTATATGTTGAGCCTTCCTAGCGCGCGAGTTTGCTGTGAGGCGCCGTTTTCTCTCTCGCTCTCTATCAGGCGCGACGAAAAGTAAGTCCGGAAAGACTGTTTTTCAAGTGAAAGGAGGAGGCCCCCCCTTCCCCTACTCTCGGGGGCTACGAAAGCTACGCCGGACGATCGAGGTCGACGACTGGACGCGACTGGCCGCTATTGATGTGAGCGTGGTGGAATGAGATGGACGGGATCTCTCTTTTGGCGACTTTTTGATGAATTATTATTATTATTATTATNTTTATTTTTATTAAATTCCATCATGTGCCATTGAAATAAACTACTGTATCTATATATAGTTTGTGTTTCCTCTTTGATAATATTCCTTATGCATCATTTGCAGTTCTTAAGAAAATTTTGTTGTGAACTTACTTTTCCTTGCTGTATTTTTCTTATCTTTCGTGTACTAGTCATGCTCATTACAGTGATACACATACACTCTGGCATGGCTAATTACGTTTCCATTACGTTAGGCGTAGAGTTTGTTGGTTAATTTGTCGTGAACATCAAAATATGCGGCTACGTTTTTGGACCTTTTACAATTTACGTTTTACAATATGTTAAAACATTTACCACCTGAACGAGGAAAGTAAAATAAACGATAAAAAAGGCTGCTATTACAGTGACCTTGAGTTAACCATGAATTTAATAAAAAATTTTCAATAAATAATAATACATTTTTGCTGCATTTAATGATAGATTTTAAATGAACTTTTGCAATAACCATAGTATAATAAATTGTATAAAAGAGTGGCATTGACAAACAGGTGTTTAAAAAAAAATTTCTATTAAGAAGTGATTTTTTTTATCAGGGCCAGAAGTTTTTCTAATACTTAAACTCAAATGACAATGAATTTATTTCAAAAATCAAAAAACGTTTGGTTACCCTTGTTTTACATAATTTTTTTGATGGTAATTTTTGAATTTAACCTAATTTTTCATTATGTATTAAAAGAATTAAACTATTTCGTTTTACCTTTCTAATAATTATTTTCTACCCTTTATAATTAAATGGAGTATGGCACACATTTTTAATTTCGCCTGAAATATTCTGTCATCTTTGAGACATCGTTGGGTAAAGTTATAAATATTATTGTTCATTATAAAATAAAAAATTACTTATTCTGCCAACAGTGTCTTATGTATATCTTGTTTTTGTGTCACTGTTCGAGGTTAGTTACGGTTCACCACCTATGACATATAAAAAATTATTGCTGAATAATTTGCAGGCATATAATAAAAAACATTAATAAATATGATAATAAAATTCAGACTCACATATTCATCTATACTTTAGTTAAATTATTAGATTTTTGAGCTTTTATTTTATATTCTTCTAAAAGTTTTTTGTACTTCCGTCTCATTTGAATTTTAGCAATTACTTGAGACCAAGGACCAAATTCACCTTTTAGGGCTGCTGCCATCATTGTCTTTACATAAAATCCATTTATCATTAAAAATCACAGAATTATTGTAATTAGCTTTAATATGAGTTCTTTGATAGTCTCATAGAAATAAATTTAGCAATATCAGAAATATGTCACTTATCATTATTTCTTACATCTCTTTTACTTTTTTTGTCTTTAACATTTCCAATCTGTTGAGTATATTTCTGTGGTCCATACTCCGTCAGTACTTGAAAGTCTGCGTGTTCACCAAATTTAAAACCAATTCCTATTCTCGAGTCAGTCCCTAAAAATTAGTGATTTTCATTGCATAAATCGGTCGTGCAAGATTTTAATATTAATTATACATAGAAATATTTAAGTCATTGCACGAAACTCGTAAAAAAACATACCTATTTTGATTGGTGGAAACACGGAAAAAAATACATTTGTTACTGTTGGTAAATCTTCTGGTATGATTAAACTTGTAACATCTGAAAAGTAATTAAAATCATGAAAAATTATTAATTATTTCATATGTATAGTGGAATACATTATCATCACACCATTTAGCTGTTCGAAAAAGCGAAAGGATTATGTCCTGAATCGACAACTTGTCATTATGAAGTAGGCAGACATAATGTGAGTAAAAAACTCAGACTAGCGGTAAGATGAAAAAAATTTGTCGTATGTACGAATAGTTGAAATGTAAGATTAAGTATGTGTATGAGCTACAAAATACGTGCATGTCTACATCAGACAAGTTGTATTTATACCCGCATTATAGATGAGTGTGATACTAACAGTTGCTGAAGAGCAGAAAAATGACCAGAGCGAGACGTGCGGGTTTTGCAATCGACGTTGTCATCTTGGTGAGAGGGATTGCGTCATCTGCTAGTACATACCATCACATAGTGCTCTAACTGCAATGCACATGTTGCACAATTTTTAGCTGAAAAAAAGGTCTTGATTATGGTGGTTTAGGAGCTTTCCAAGGATTTTTGCTTGAAATTCAACGCAACGGCGTGCAAATGCATTTTTCTCTAATTAAAAAGGTTTTTTTGCACTTTAATTGTTTTTTTTTTTTTNTATGCGGCTACGTTTTTGGACCTTTTACAATTTACGTTTTACAATATGTTAAAACATTTACCACCTGAACGAGGAAAGTAAAATAAACGATAAAAAAGGCTGCTATTACAGTGACCTTGAGTTAACCATGAATTTAATAAAAAATTTTCAATAAATAATAATACATTTTTGCTGCATTTAATGATAGATTTTAAATGAACTTTTGCAATAACCATAGTATAATAAATTGTATAAAAGAGTGGCATTGACAAACAGGTGTTTAAAAAATGACCAAGAAAACATAAAGTTCTTGTATTGATAATAAAAACTCGCAAGTTAAATACGTACAATTAGTATAATATTGGTAGTTATATTCCTTTTTCTGAATTCTATATTTTTGTAAAAATACTTTATAAAAAAATTCGAAAAAAAAAAAAAATTTAATTTTTTAACAATAAAAAAATATTGTGTTGGTAAATGCTACGAATATAAAAAGCAATGAGTAATAGAAACATAAATTATAAGCACATACAAAAATATTTAAAAATGTACAGTCACACTCAATTAAAGTTGAACCACTTTAAAAAGTAATCGTGCGTTAATAATATGTTTTTATCTTGCAAAAGACTTGATATTGATTTAAGATACAAAAATGAATTGAAATTTGTTACAGTACCGTAAGTTAGTCAAACCCACAAGTACGAAAAACAACACTTTAAAAAATGTTTATCTAATCAATTAAAATTCAACGATGAAATGGTATCATGGTCGTGTTGTATGCGACGCCTGACACTATACTGAAAGGATTCCCAACTAGAGTCTCCAGCATTGAGTGAAAATCTCGATTCTAATCCCTACTCTGAAAGCGAGAGGTTGTACAATTTTAGTCTGGTTTCAGTAAAAGCAGCGACTCAACATTTTATGAGATTGAAGATTAATTGCGTTGCACAACAGGTTTTTGAAGATTGCACACTTTTAAATTTTTATTCATACTTTTTAGTTGACTCTTGAAAGGTGGGCATATTTTTGTCATCAAAGCTTCAGCATATCAAAAGGAGTATTCAATGCATTTGCTAAAGAACAATGAAATTATTTTATAATTTTTCTATTATTTAAGTAGTGTTTATATTGTTAGTAAAAGGTTCAAGTACATACATGTGAAAAATATAGCTTAAGAATTTTTTTGATAAGGTTATTAAAGATAATTTAAAATATTGGTAAAGTCATCAGTTGCATGATCATAATCAAGTTATTTAAAACAATTAAGTAATTTAAAGTTTTTTTCGTATTTCGTGTGTCACCCGTACCAACACGGAAGACGACTGGGTTGAAAAGTGTTACCGAGCAGGTATATGTGATTCATTAAGATAATCTCCTCTTAAAATATGCATTACAATTAGAAATAAATGACCATCATATCAAATACTGGTAGAATCTATTTGAGTTTACTTTCTATAATATTATTTTAATTAAGAAACTTATAAGCCTTATCAAATAAAAAAAAATAAAAAACAAAAATTAATAGCAGTGAAACAAAGGCGAGTTTGATAAGCAAACACTTGTTCAAACTAAAAGAAAAAAAAGAAAAAAAAAATTGAGATATTATTTACTTAATTTGGACATAAGCCGTAGAAGTTGCAGCCATTCCTCGATAACCAAAAAAGTCAATGAAAAATAAATGCATGCACATCCTAAAAATTTATATACGTAATTATTATGACTCCAGGTATTAATAATTGAAATCGTAAAGAAAAAAAGTTTAAGTTTATTAAATGTGTATACCAAATGTTTACTGATTAAAGTCATCACGTTTAAAAAAATTATAATAAAAAAGTGTCACACTTGTAACATAACTAAAAACGTTGATGAGAAATTTATGAAAAGTATGTAAGTGGATTGGCAGGGATTTTATATTTAAAGACAATATTGTCATATCAATAATATTCCAGAATTGCATTTGGTCAATCATTAAGATTATAAATTACCGAGAAAGTCATTGAAAAAGCATTAACGATTATTTTTGTTTTCGAACGTTAGTAGAGAAAGGCTTAGGACTTGTATGACTTAACATTTTTGTACGATTATATATTGATTTTTATCAGTGATTCAATACAAACAAAAGTATATTCTATCAGAAACAAGGTATCATAAAAGGTAGCATTAGTGCATTTGTATTTTTGATAAGAAACTGTTCAATCTGAGCATAGCTCTACATACAAATTTTTATTTGCTTATTTTTATCTGATGATACCACTGTAAAGCAAAATGATATTGGCTATGTACATCTACTAACGTCGGACTTAGATTAAATTATTTTAAAAATTGTTATACGTAAATTTTAAAAAACTGCTTTTGGGCAAAGTGATTTTCTTTGCTGAGAAAATCATTAATGATTCATTACTATTTGAGATACAATATTGAGAAATATTTTTCTCTTCTGGCGTACATTACAATACTGTGACTATTTTTTTATCTCATAAATTTCATTTTTTTTTTCAATTCAAAGGTGTGATTTTTGTAATTGAAAAAAAATTTTTCTAGCATACACAATGCGTTACACTTTGAGCTAAAAATTATGTTTAAAAAAAAAAGTAAATGAGTATGCGAGGCCAAGTCTGACTACCATGTCTTGGAAAAATATTTTTATCTTTAATTTTGTATCTAAAAACATATAGTACTGAAAAGTATGCACATCTGTGTCAACAGTAATAAATAGATTTCATCAAAGCGCTCGACAAAAAGAATATGACGAACCCACGTAGGTACGAATCGGATTTAAAAATTTGTACGTTTTATTAATCTAAAATTCCGAAATTACACATTGGTTAACATGAAATGGAAAACATTAGCAAAATCCAGTACATCTCTATGTAAACCAAACAAACACGTGCACGTCATCGCAGCGCTGGCGGCGTCGTCGTCATCGTTGTCGAGTACAACAGTAGCGGGGCTTGCACTTATCTTTGCTCTTTCCAGTACACGTTTCACCTCTAGTTTGGTCGGCGCCGAATCACAGGTATTACAACGTGTACGTGTGTGCAGTGCGCGCTTTACTTGGCTTTTGACGTTTCGTAATTCTTTTTCTGGCATTTTTTTATTTTTTTTTTATTTTATGCCTCAAGTGCACCGATAACGTTACGAGTGATAGTTCTCGGATGGTTTGGATTTTTAGTGTTCAGTGAACAGGAGTGGAAGGTGGGATTGTTGAGAAAGACAAGATTTGGAGAATTTAGCTAAAATGTGGAAGGTTGCGCGTGTTGCGTGAAATCAGTGTAAGTACACGTTTGTTGGTTTGAAGTGAGTTGTAATGCATTGAATTAAAATTATTGCAGGACTACCGTTTTTTTCAGTACATATGTAATTTAAATCTGTAATTTTTCTAGAAGATGACATTTTGGGAAGAACCACCTTGTTTTGGTAAACAGCGTTTTATTACAATGTAGAAGAGCTTGATGTGACTGTGAAACATATGACGTTGACAACGGAGCGTGAAGAACGTACTTTTTAACAAGTTGCTCGCAAAGCCAAGTAAGTAATCGCATGTTTTTCCAGTTATTTGAGATTTTTTACGAATAATAAAACTCAAGTGAAACTTTAAGGTTTTGTTGCGAATTTATGAAAATGCATCAAACTTTTATTTTTATTAAATTCCATCATGTGCCATTGAAATAAACTACTGTATCTATATATAGTTTGTGTTTCCTCTTTGATAATATTCCTTATGCATCATTTGCAGTTCTTAAGAAAATTTTGTTGTGAACTTACTTTTCCTTGCTGTATTTTTCTTATCTTTCGTGTACTAGTCATGCTCATTACAGTGATACACATACACTCTGGCATGGCTAATTACGTTTCCATTACGTTAGGCGTAGAGTTTGTTGGTTAATTTGTCGTGAACATCAAAATATGCGGCTACGTTTTTGGACCTTTTACAATTTACGTTTTACAATATGTTAAAACATTTACCACCTGAACGAGGAAAGTAAAATAAACGATAAAAAAGGCTGCTATTACAGTGACCTTGAGTTAACCATGAATTTAATAAAAAATTTTCAATAAATAATAATACATTTTTGCTGCATTTAATGATAGATTTTAAATGAACTTTTGCAATAACCATAGTATAATAAATTGTATAAAAGAGTGGCATTGACAAACTGTTTCTTAACAATAAATTTCTATTAAGAAGTGATTTTTTTTATCAGGGCCAGAAGTTTTTCTAATAAAATAATACTTGATTCAGTTTAAAATATATTCTTACATCCTCAAGTAAGTTAATCTAATATAAATAAAAGTAGAGTCACAATATTTATTCCTTTAATTTTTATTAGACTTAATTTAGGTGATCCACGTACGATATATTACTTTAGCTAGTTATTATTATTAACTATAACCATTGCTGTTATCCATATACAACAATTTTAAGATGTTAATATTTCTTTTTATAGTTGTAAAAAATTAAGTTACGTTACAGCTGTGTAAAATCTGTACTAAAGTATTTGAAGTGCAAGATTAACATTTGAAGATTCAAGAAAATTTTAGTGACATTTAATATAACTTTTGGGATGTAATTAACGACTTAATGAGCAAATAATAGCGTGGTAATTAAAGCTCCATAAGAACTTTCTTATTTAAAATTGAATCACTACCTTATCATCGAAAAACAGTTGTCTACAAAGATTGTAGAACTATTACACATGACTGTTTATGGTCGAGCTAATGACATGATGCATCACACTGTGATAAATGACTTTATAATTATTTTATCTGGTGTTCCACTAAAGATACAAAAAAAAATCTATTTCGTAATTCCCTCATATCCGTGAAAATTTTCTTTGAACAGCCTGTATCAATCGGTGCTGGAAGTATTGTAATGTATTGAGTTCAGTATAGGTACCTGGTCGCACAAGTGTTGCCTCGACAGTTTATAGTAAAAACCGGGAAGCACCAAGTAGACCGCGATAAGGTGATATCCCACGTTACATACTGCGCAGGTATAGTCTATAGGTGCATACCTGTGCAACTAGTGTGTAGACATAAGTAAGACCATTGTTACTTATTTAAAAAAAAAAAAAAATTGAGGTACGATCATTCTTATTCTTGTATTTTTTCTTCTTTATTATTTTATATGGTATAATAATGTGGTGTTTTGTAGATTTAACTTATTACCTAAAACCAATGTAATACTAATATAAAGACAATTTTGATAATTTAATAAAATGTAGCACTCGTATTCTGTAAATTTGAACTTGTGAAATTATTTTGAATTATTTTAAAATTATTTAACTATACTGTTAATGATTGCGAAGCTTTTTAATTAGAAATCAATATAAAAATCATTTGACTTTCTTAGTAACTCTGTATCAGAAGTATTGCATTGTATTAGAGAAATAATTTATTTGCCGTTGGTATCTCAATTCATTTGAACTAAAAATTTATTGTAGATGATTTTCTTACGTACCAGATTCTTGTCCATTGCATAACATCAAAGAATCATTTCATGATCATAGATACAAATTCATCATGTTTAAAAATTGTAACCATTGTTTCAGTGAATGTCGTACGAAGAAGCTATTGGCCCATTGGGTGTTATAATTATATGCAGCGTTGCCGCAATTATATTCGGAATAGCACTGTTGATCGCAGTTTGCTTCTGCATTCCTAAATGTATTGGTTACAAATGGATAAAACGAAAAAGTAAGTGCCAACTTTTTTTTTAAATCATGTGTTCGTATATTTTTGACGGAGTTTAATAACTGCGAGGTCAAGTTAAATTGTGACTGAACAGTTATTGAATGAGAAACAGAAGCGAGCCACCAGCAATTATGATGGTCTAAATATTCACGGTAGGTTCACTCGTATGAGTCATCGGTTGTTGCTATTTGAAAATTACCTTTTGCAATTTCCATTAAACGTTCGAGCGTCAGTTTCTCGTTTCCATTGTTCTTAGACGTGCACAAACATACATTTTTCTTTCAAATTGCACACTTGTGTGATCAATTATGCGCCATGAAATAAACAATCGCTGGATTCCCCTAATAACCAAGTGGTATTTAAAAAAAATAAATTGAATTTTAAATTTCTTTATGAATAAATGCTTGATCTGCATTTTATAGTTTATGGTGGTATTAATTTTCGCAATAATTATTGATTGATCAAAGATGAGAAAATTGTACTTACTTTTCAAATTATTAATTTATTTACCAAATTAATTTATTGACCATACGATTTTTAATGAAGAAAAACCCTTGTCATCAAAAGAAAATGGGAAATTCAACGAGGATCCGAAACTTAGCGAAATGAGCTACCGATCTTGGCGGCTGAACAGCTTGTACAGTAATGGAGATGGTGAGTGTACAAAAAAAATTATTATGGAATTCGATTTTTTATCTCCTTTTTATTTATTTATTACAGATACAATCCACGAAGACACGGTGTATTCACCAGATCTGTCGCCTCCACTAAACTCTAACAACCTTCACTTCAATACAATAGATACGTCATCTGTTTTGGTGATTAATACATTTAATTGTTACAACAATTATACTTTATATAAATTTGTATCATGTTTCAAGTGGATGCATTTTTAATTTTTAGAATCTCGTGCCGAAAAAGAAAGATGATGTTGGTGAAAAAATTTTTCCAACGGAATTAACACTCAGCCTTCGGTATTTTCCTTACTGCGAAGGTATTACTGCTTCAAAATTAGTTATTGGCATTGAGGTATTATCTGTTGACGTAAACATAATATTAATAATAAAAAAAAAACAAAAAAAAAAACTGTTCAAATATGTACGCTTGGTGACGCTTTTTTAGGCGCTATCTGGTCTTCCACCTAAGCAATACAATTCCTCAATTGAGCCTTACGTACGGTTGGAAGTGATAAAAAAGTCGTGGTCTCATCGAAAGCGGCAAAAGTTGTACAGTTTTCAGACAAAAGTTGTTAAACATACGGCGAGTCCGATTTTCAAAGAATCTTTCGTGATTTCAAGTGGCATACCACATGAAATGAAGGTAAATGTATAACTTTTTAAAATAAAAATAAAAATTCACTCGTTAGCACATTGATAATTATTAATATATCTTACAACTGAATTATTGAGATAGTAAAGTGATGTACAAAAACTGCGTACATCACGATTCAGCTGAAATTTACATGAATTTGAAACCGGTGTAATTTATTTCCTGTAAAAAGTAATATTGCATAGGAATACTTGAAAACTAAAATGAATGTTTTCAGGACTGGATACTTAATATCGAAGCTTACGATCGTGATCGCTACGCCAACCATTCAAAATTATGCGAACTACAGGTGCGAATGAAGGACATGCAGAGAATACTTTTTAGTCCTGAAATTCATCTTTTTAATTTTCACATGAAGCAGTGCAAACAGGTGAGCCAGTAATTACTTTTACGAGTCGGTAGCAGCGGTAACAATGTAAAAAAAACTACAAATGGTAAAATAAACACGAAAGCTTGTGAATACGGCAGTAATGACGAAAATTGTTGTTTTTTTTTCTTTTTTTTTTTTTCAGGAATACGGAAACATATTACTTGGAGTGAGTTATTTGCCTACAGCACAGCGCTTGTCGATAAATGTTATGAAACTCCGCAACATCAAGTTCATGCCGGATGTTCCAAGTTTAAACGAATTTAGTGAGTGCAGTGACTATAATTGCAAAGAAAACAATGTCCTCAAAAATAATATTTACAACCTCATTACCGATAACTTCGGTAATAACTCGTTATTATTTTGAAGTAAATGTATTTATTTTTCCGTAAAAATGTTCATAATTATTCTACGTAAAAATTTTGACTTCAAAAGTTTTCCGTACTTGAAAAAATAAAAATAAGGGTCGTTCAATCGTGCCCAGTCGATACGAGTTTTAAATTCAAACATTTATCAGTAATCCAATAAATGATCTTATCCGGAACATAGATAATTTTATAACCCTTACATATTATTCGGAGTAATCAGTGAAACGTTAACTTAGTAGAAATAACGAATATTCACTATTTCGCAGTGAAACTCGCTACTTCACCATGAGTTTTTAGTATTTAAAAAATGTAAAATTTCATTATTTACATAACTTACATTTTTACTAAATCATCATTTTTTTTTTTTTTTTACAGATCCATATATTCGGATTATAATGTTAAATGGAATGACGGGAAAAAAAATAAAAAGAGAAAAAACAAAATATCTTAAATCTACAGCAGAGCCTGAATTCAACGAGACTCTTACCTTTGATCTGCCAACATCGCAGATGGATACCCTGCAATTCCTGATTGTTTTATGTAGTAAAGTACGATTCAATATGTTTATTTTTGATCATACACATGCAACTGAGTTACCAAAACTGTTTTCGTCTCGCTTAAATTTTTTTTTTT